TGATGAGACATAGGCGAGGTCGAAACTGCAATCCAGTACAGCCTTGATGAGAAATGCTATGCGAAATTCAATGAAAACGTAAGGCATGCTCATATGATTTTTGACAAAATTCAACTACCAGTCCTCTATCACTTTAACCGAAGTATGGTGAATACATTTGATGTATATGATTTACTGATAGTCCTGAAAACCCATTCAAAACGAACTATTAGTTGCTTAAGCTGATTTACGGACGAATAGTTGAGTATTTTTCGTAACATCTAAATTGGGAAAAAGTCATTTGCCAGTCTTCACTTCATTTTATGCAATCTAGACCGATGGCCTCAAAAACGATTCATATCAAAAGTGAATCCCATTGTAGGCCATTTTAATCATGGAGCTCTTATTCCATCCAAACGGATGTGCTCACTGCTCTCTATTGTCCATTTGTAATAACACCGCTGCCCCCCTTTCCATCCCATGACAACAAAAAACAGGTGATAATCTCCGAGGGTGAGCACAAGGCCTCAGTTGCCCTGCGACAGGCCAGCATTGTGCTCAACGACAGCCCAACGGCCCTTCAATTGCGCTACCTGCAGACCATGTCGAGCATTTCGGCGGAGAAAAACTCCACCATCGTCTTCCCTTTCCCCATAGACCTGTTCACTGAGTTTATGCCCAAACCGAACCGACAGCACCAGCGCGGCCACCAGTCTGGCCCCGGTTGTCCCGGAGACGCGGGTGGCGGCGGTGTCAACGGCGGTGGTGGTGATTGCCCCGCCCTGCCCAGCAACCAGAAGACGGAACCGCGTGTGACTGCGCCATCGCAGACTGGCCGGCAGGGCCGGCCGGGCCAGACGTACTTGGCGGTCGAGTGCAGCGGTTGCAATGGCGACTGCCAGTCCAGTCGGGCCTACCCGTGCCAGAGGGACTCGAACCAACAGCCGAGTCAGCCCGCCCCGGCGTCCGGGGCTCAGCGTCCGCCGGAGCCGCCGGCGCGTCGGAGTCTGCAACCGACGCCCGGCGAGTCGGAGGAGGCGGCGACGCCCGTCCCTTTCGGCGGCCAGCGAGGCCGTCAGTCGAACGGTTGGAGGCGCGGCAAGCCGGGACTCGAACGCTCGACCTCGGGCCTCCGACCGCCCGACGAGGCCTCGATCGAGGAGGATCCTTCGGGGGCGGAGGGGCGGCATGCGCCGACGACTCCGACTCTGGCCACGGTCAGGGGCCGCCTCTCGACAACGCGGCACAGGTCGTCGCCAAGCTACCGACGGGAGGAAGAGCAAGATGAGGATGATGAGAACGGCGATGACGACGATGATGACGACGACGACGACGAGGAGGAGGAGGACCAGGTGCTGCCGGACGAAGAGGACTCGGCCAGTCTGGCCTCGGAGGCGGTGAGAAGAGGCTCTCGAGACCACGGCAGACCAGCGGATCTGCTTAATCCTCTTCTGAGACAACAGAGACGGTGACCCGACCCGGCCTCCTCCCACCTCCAGGCCCGGCCAGACGAACCTTCCACCA